AATAAAATGAAATATTAAAATCACGATGTATCTCGCTGCATTGCGCGAGGACGCTTCTAGTTTTATTAAGCAAATTTAGCAAAAGTCTTAAAGTCTTAAAATACTAAATGACCAAAATACCCTTCATACTCACTTTTTCACCCCCTCCTCTCCTCACATACACTCACCCCCTCACATACACTCACCCTCTCACAACCGATTTTTTTAAAATTGTAATTTTATACTTTTAATTGTGAAAATTAGCATATTGTAATTTTTTCCAGATCGGGTTCGGGTTTCGGTTATAACCAACGGTAAAAAATATGATTTTTACCCTTTACGGGTTTCCTAACGGGGATCAGGGAAACCGCGGGGACCCGATAGGGAATTGGGATCCCCGGCGGAGATTGGGACGGTTACGAAAACGGTTTTAACTATCGATTTCGGAGACGAGGATACCAATACCCGATCCGTTGCCATTCCTAGTGATAGAGCCTCATATATCTTGAAAATACATTTCCTTAAAAAATATGTTCACTTTTAATCCAATTTCCCGAAATTATAATTAAACTATCTGTCAAATTAATAATGTGGCTTCTAGAAACGCTAATTAGTTTACTTATTCATAGCATGTGAATTTGGAAGTCGTGGGTCAAATATCCTCAAAAAGTCAAACTAAACCCGCAACATTAATTACAAAAATCATCCTTCAACTATTTAACATCTTTCATGTTGCTCCTTTTTCTTTTTAATTAAATCACATGGCAAATTCAACATTATGATTATCACTAAACTTTAAAACCAAGTCTCATTGTTCTGAAATGATCCAAACCCCACATAGAATTTCCATGGTATTTTTTAGAAATATTATGAAATTGATTAAATTTTAATTTTAGGGGCCGTTTACCAAACACTTATTAGGTAGGTTTTAACTGGTAAAAGTCGTCAATCACCTTCACTTACCTTGTCTAGTAATAATCTTGGCCATTAAAATAGATTGTTGGTAAAGGTATTTTATCTGGTAACCGCTTACCGAGTAAAAGTTTTCCCCTTCACTTAACGGGTAAGATTCTCGGTCCTACTGGATAAGATTCTCACTCTTTACCATGCACATCTTATATGATAAGTGTCATCCAGTAAACGTTTACTCGATAAGCGTTTGATAAATGGTCCCTTTAATGTATAAAAAGTTGCATACTTGCATCTACAACTTATAAATGGCGAGTTAAAACCCTCTTTCTTTCATGATCGACAGTAACCAATAACCTCTCAGTAACACTGTCCATCGCTTTCCTCCTTTGCTATTGTAGGCGGAGGAAGGTAGTTGGGGTTTCAAGTTTTAACATTTGGTAATTAGCATAATAAAACGGCATAACAATCAAAATACTTCGTTGACCCAAGGATAAAAAATCAATAGTGCAATAATTTTTTTTTTTTCTAAAAACAGCTAAATTTAGAAAACTTTAAATAGTTGAGGGACTATATTTGTAACTTTAAAGTCAATCTAGGGGGAAGTGGAGTTGAATCCCGGAGGGGATAGAAGGCGTGTGGGGGCGATGCGACCAATTCCTTTCTCTCTCTCCAAAACCCTTACATATATTACTAACTCCATCATCGATTTGGTCAAATTCGACGCATTTTACCCATTCGATTCCACCAATTTCACCAAACCCTAACTGACTTTTTAGATTCATCCAATCCCTCAATTTCCCGATCCACGATTTCTTAAATTTACAGGGTTTCTGGGGATCTTTTGATCTTGTATAATGGTGGTGGTTTCGAGTGGCTTCGCTAACTCTGTTGTTCTTCCTGAATCCGAATCCAGAAGCATGATGATCAATCTTTCTTCTTCGTCTTCTTCTTCTCATACGTTTCTCCATTGTAATTCGTCTTCCTCTTCTTTGGCTTATGTTCCTCCTCAGCTTCGGATAGACTGTAAGCCGGTTGGTGTTAGGAGATTGATTTCTGATACGGGATTAGTTCGTGTAAACCCTAGATGCGAGGTAACGTCGGAGCGAAACACCGACGTTGAATCTCCATCGCAATTGAACTCAGCCAGTCTTTCTGCTCTTGAGGCGCTCAAGACATCGGCTGCTGACAGTGAGTTTCAATTCTGATTATTGTTGTCTTTTTCGTTGCTGTGATTGAATCTGTTTCAAATTGTTGCATGCCCTCTTTCTTTTTTTATGAAATATGGTAATTAATGGATCAAGGTCTAGCTGCTTGAATGAAGTTTCAGTACAAGTATAAGAACACAAATATATGATCTTACGCAATTCATATGCAACTTAACCAGAATTTATGTACTTCTGTGGTGCTTGATAATAGATGGTCAATAATGGAATTGCGGGGATAAACGTTGACTAAGCTTTCTCAAGTGCTTCTCTTTCTTTAGATTTTTATTCTTTCCTCAATTCACATGATGGACCATGGTGTTTATGTTTTCATAATCATGGGTTTTGCTTTAAACTGTAGGATATACAAAGGAAAGGAGTAGCTTTATCGTGGTTGGGCTTAGTTTTCATACAGCACCAGTTGATATCCGTGAGAAGCTTTCCATTCCTGAGGCACAATTGCCTCAAGCAATTAGTGAGCTATGTGCCTTGAACCATATAGAAGAAGCTGCTGTTCTTAGTACTTGCAACAGGATGGAGATATATGTTGTGGCTCTCTCACAGCACCGTGGTGTTAAGGAAGTGACTGAATGGATGTCAAAGGTACTAATCAGCTTCTAATATATACATGTTAACTTGGTTCATTATTCTTTATATTCAGTGGATAAATTTGTCATTTCCTTTGGGGACGTAGTCCTAGTCACAACTTAAAAGGTTGTACCGCCTTATTTTCTTTTTCATATGTGATGATGAACCTTGATTTGCATTTTCTAAGCCCTGGTGGAAGTTCTTGGGTTGTTTTCTTTAATAGTCATGATGAATTGAGATCAAGGGACAAGACTCCTTTTACTTCTAGATAGTTTGCAATTAACATTTGTTTGGAGGAGGAAGTACCAAACTTTAGCAGTTGGTTTTTAGGAAATGGAATAAGATTACATCTATGTTGCACACAAATGGTCATACGAGTTGCCTGTTCATCATTTAACATGATGATAAGTATGATACTGGAAGTGACCCTACTTATTTTTCTTATTGCAGGTTAGTGGTGTTTCTGTTTCAGAGATTTCTCGGCACCAATTCTTGCTGCATAACAGAGATGCCACAAAACACCTGTTTGAAGTATCTGCAGGCCTTGATTCTCTTGTTCTAGGAGAAGGTCAAATTCTTTCTCAGGTAAAGCAAGTTGTAAAAATCTCACAAGGAGTCCCTGGGTTTGATAGGAAGATCAGCGGGCTGTTCAAGCATGCAATTACAGTAGGGAAGCGGGTCAGAACCGAGACCAAAATCTCTTCTGGATCAGTATCTGTCAGTTCAGCTGCTGTAGAACTTGCACAAATGAAGATTCCACAATCTTCATATGATTCCGTGAGAGTATTGGTGGTTGGAGCTGGCAAGATGGGAAAACTAGTGATTAAACATTTGATTTCCAAAGGGTGCAGAAAGATGGTGGTTGTGAATAGAACAGAGGATAAAGTCGCCATAATCCGTGAGGAGTATACGGATATTGAGATTGTTTATCAACCTTTCTCAGAGTTGATATCTTGTGCTTCGGGATCTGATGTTATTTTCACCTGCACGGCTTCTGAAACACCCTTATTCTTGAAAGAGCAAGTCGAGGCACTTCCTCGTTTGAGTTCACAAAGGATGTTCATAGATATATCAGTTCCAAGAAACGTGGAATCATCTGTCGCGGACCTTGAGACGGCTCGTGTCTATAACGTGGATGACCTCAAGGAAGTTGTGGAAGCTAACAAAGAAGACCGCCTACGAAAAGCATCAGAAGCCCAATTGATCATATCAGAAGAAGTCCAAGAATTTGAAGCTTGGAAAGATTCGTTAGAAACCGTGCCAACTCTCAAGAAACTCAGGGCATACGCCGAAAGAATCAGGGAGAGTGAATTTGAAAAATGCATGGGAAGAATGGGTAATGATTTATCAAAGAAGCAAAAGGGAGCTATTTATGGTCTTAGTAAAGGTATAGTAAACAAACTTCTTGAGGGTCCAATGCAGCACCTAAGATGCGATGAGACCGAAGGTCGATCATTGGAAGAGATTCTTGAGAATATGCATGCATTAAACAGGATCTTTGGACTCGAGACTGAAATCTCCATCTTAGAAGAAAAGATTCGATCGAAGATGGAAAAGTCTAAAAAGTAAGAATTCTTTTGTTGATATTTGAGTTTGTTGATTTGAGCAGGTGGTTGTGAATTTGAGTGGCTAATCACTTGAGGATGCATTGGCTTTTTGAAATCTATGGATACCAGCAGCAGCAGGGAACAATTGGGAAAGAGGGTAATAGGTTTTTCTTTTCAATTGAGAAATTGTGTTATTGGTAACTGAATGGGTTCAGGATTACTTGTAGCCACATACTGATTTATACAATAATGCCCAATTTGGGATTTCTTGAGGATCAAAATAGGTTTTTATTTAGATAGAGATGCATACAGACCGATCCGAATGACCTCAAACGAAACCCGCTTTCATTAAGGACCGATTCAGATCTAACTGGTCCCTGGGTTTCATCAAGTCCAAATTGGTCCCCTTGGTTCTAAGGGGGCATTTACTACCAGCAAAAGTCACCACATTCGCTTACCTTATCGAGTAACATTTTCAGCCATCAAAATGGATTGTTGGTAAGTATTTCATACCAAGTAAGATTCTCGGACCTTTAGTAAACAACCCAAGTAATTCCCGACAGATCTTACTTAAAAATATGTTATTCTTTCAAATTGACTGTTAGGAGTATAAAGTGAAGTTTTTCCATCTCTGTTTCGTAAATCTTCGAATCTTGGATTATGCGTCTTTCAAACCTTCGATTCTTCGTTTTCCCGTATTCGTCTTCCAAATGTTAGTTCATCGTTGGCGGAGTGAGGAGTTACGCATTGCCTTGGTTCTTTTTTTTTTTCAGGATGTCGCTTTCAGTTATCACGAGGCTATTTTACCATTCATTTATTTGTAGTATCGGATTCTAGTAGTCATTTAGACACACGTAAAGCTCCACCGATTCCACCTTAAAGACATGACCTCCATTCGTTTAGAATCATGTCTCAAAAAAGATGTGACCTCCATTTGTTTAGAATCATGTCTCTAAAAAGACCATGACCTCCATTCGTTTAGAATCACGTCCCAAACTATGACACTAGCTTTGATCGTTACACATGGGAATCACGATTCGTTTTACTTTCACCATTGAAAATATCGAACTTTGAACTTGTTCGTTATCTGTAATTTGCATTGCTGGATATGAAATCCGTATATCAATCTCCATTTTCAAACCCGTAAAACCCTTTGTTTATAAAATCTTACCAGCATTTTCAACGGATGTTTCAAAATGAATAACCAAAAGTCAAAGAAATTTATGTTCCATCTTTAATTGTTATCTATTTTGTAGATTACAATATGAATCATATTATTATAATATTCAATACAGTTCATAAAATATTATTTTTTTCTCCAATCCTCTATTTAATAGAATTGGTAATGTTATGGTAAAACAATTTTAAAAGTATAATACTATATTAAAAAATGTGACATCATGTCACATGCAGACGGCTATGTGGATGATGAGATGGTAAAGAAACCTCGTATAATAAGTAAATTCAGTTTAAAAAGTTAGTAAATTCAGTTTAAAAAGTTATCCGATGCTATAACGAGTAAATTATATATTAAACAATTCACTGAGACTAAGAAGACGATGAGGGGGTATGAATATTATTCGGCAACTTTACAGCAAACATAGTGTAAATCAGCGCTTCTTTTTATTCCGTATAGTATGCCGGCGGCTGAAACGTTCTGATCTTTCTGCCGGTGACACTCATCTCGCCGTACGGTTGCTGAGCAAGATTCAGATCATCGGCGGCAGTCCCAGTTTGAGATGTCTCATGGGGACCCACATCGTTTAGTGACGGTGGCAAACCAAAATCATCATAACCGTTGCCTGCAGCGGAGGCTTGAGAATTCTCGTTGCGGTTATCTATGGACCCAATGCTCGGCGGTTGGCCATCCTTGTAGTAATCAGGAGCAGTTTCAGCATTTCTATGTGAGTTCCCTTGCTCACGTGCCAAAGCCGGAAATGATGGAGGTTGATCGTTGACCTCCGTGGCTTGGTACATCTCCGGGATCGGATCAGTCTGATTCCCGGTGTACGATTTATCAATCGATCGAACATCAGTGAGTGAGGGACTACTGTCTTCTTGGTGGATTTGGGGATAAAGAGAATCATCGGAGCTTCTGGTGGTCGCGGATGAGAAGGATGGGGGTGACGACATTTGTTGCAGGTATAGAAATTGTGATGGAGATGTAGGGTGGGTATATATAAAAAGCAGGAGGAGATGTGTTACTCAAGTTTCATTAACTCATCAAAAGAGTTAGGTTGGTTCAAAAGTCGTAGGTAATGCTATCAGCGACGGATTTTTCAGCAATGGATTAACGAAAGAATTTTAGCGATGGATTTTCTCTTACTGATCCATCGCTACGTTTTGTTAATTTAAAAAAAAAATTATCATTACATAATTCATATATTTATGGGTTAAATGCATGAAATAGCAACCTACTTTCATAAAATTTCTTATTATAGCATTCTACTTTTGTTTTTCTTTATTACAACAATGCACTTTCAAATTATTTTCTATTAAGGCATTGTACTTTAAAAAATCTACCCATAATAACAATGAGTAACTTGTTACCTTTTGAACCGATTAACCCTTTGATTTTTTTGCTTGTGTGACTTTAATGAGGTGACGTGGATGCCACATCATCTTGATGACTTAACTAAAATTAAAATAAAAACTTATTTCAAATTATTATTAGTGATTTTCATTTTTCATTGCTATGATCTAAAAAAACATTTAATTTTTTTTACTTTTTCTTATTAAGTTGCATTCAAATTAAATATTTTTGGAGTAAAATATTTATTAAATAAATATGAAACACCATTTTC